GCAAGGCATCAACAGGAAATGATAGAAAATGGAATGAGGAATGGAATATTTCTTATTATGAAATGAAAGGATAATTTTCTCATTTGGACAATGTAAAGGAGAATGAGTAACAAAGATGGGTATTTAGATAAGGGTAAAAGCACTCAAAACAAATAAATCAAATAATCATAACTAATACATCTCGGATTCTTTCTCATAAATTCAACCACGTGATATTCTTGACACTTCAGAGTTTATCAGACTATATTAGCCATTATCTTAGCAAATTCTTAAATGATGCCATCTTCTTATTATCTAAACTGCTTTTTTAGGTTTTTAACTTAGACAATCCCTTCTTTATTCGAACAACCTTAATGGGTTTTCGATTTGAGTCCTTTTTGTTTTTTTTTTTTCCATACGAAGTACTTTTTCATAGCATCAGAGTTTATTGGGTTGTGCATATCATCTTCATCCTCTTCTACTAAGATTAATGCTCTGTTTAAAAAACCCTTTTTCACAACATATGGATATTTTCAATTCAATGTTCACTTTTCTCTATTATCATGCTGACTTTTGAGAATTCTCTTCAAAACTAACTCTTCTTTTCAAAAATGACAAAGGCAAACTTTCTTATCATGCGTACTTATAATTTTTTTCTAATATAATCAACCATGGCAACATGCTTTAAGCCTATTCTCTTCAGTTAGGTTCAACTACTCATAGCAATCTTAAACCCATTCAACTTTCTTTGGCCCAACTTATTCTTAAACTCTTAAAGATGAGATTTCTACTGCCATTGGCAATATGGCTTCCACCCCATAAACCAATGAAAATGGGGTTGCCCTTCTAAAAAGTGTGGACAAATATTCAATAAGCATGCAAAGCAAAAGATAACTTCTCATGCCAATCTCTATATGTTTCAATCATCTTTTCCAAGAACATTTTGATGTTCTTGTTTACAGCTTCTATTATCCCATTCATTTTTGGGAGGTATGGTGCTAAGTTATGATATTTAATCCTGAACTAAGTGCAAAACTCATTCATCATCTCACTGTTTAGGTTTTTGGTATTATCATAAATGATCCTCTTTGGAATTCTATATCTGCAAATTATCTCCCTTTTATATGAGCTTGCATACCATTGATCATGTCATACTACCATGTAAGGCTACCTTTACCTATTTTGTGAAGTAATCAATCATCACAAAAATAAACCTATCCCCATTCCAAGCATTTGGAGTGATAGGACCGATGATATTCATATCTCACATAGATAAATGCCATGAAGAAGCCAAAACATGTAAAGTAGTTGGAGGGCATGAATTTTATTTGCACGGATCTAGCATTCATGATATTTCTTAGAATAATCAAAGCAATTATTGTCCACCATCAACTAGTAATATCCAACTCTCATGATCTACCTAGCCATCATTTGACCATTTGCATGAACTACACAACTATCATCGTGCACTTCTTCAAAGATTTTCCTTGCTTCAGTTACATTTACACACCTCAACAACACCTGATCTCGACTTCTTTTATAAAGAATGTCCCCATCGAAAAAGAAACCCATAACCATTCTCTTGATAACTCTCTTATCATTTTCTGTTGCATCTTTTAGGTATCGTTGATTCTTGATATATTATAAGCTATTATGATACCATAGTTTCTTATCAACTTCTACTCCAATACTTAGAACAGTTTGCGGTTGAATCTTTTACATCTAATTTGATGGGTAGCATTTCAGTGTCAAGTTCAATGCTGTTAAGAGCTCTAAGTACAAGTTCAATGCTCTTCCTGGCCAGTTAAAGATATGTTTAACAACAGCAACACAGATTCAGCAACTGAATGAAAACTTAACTAAGTACCCTGCATGCTGTTTTAACTTTGCACCTTTCAATATACTTCATGATAGGATAAAACGTGACAAATACTTGACAGATACATTGCAACGAAAACTTTTCTGTTTCTATGATTTAGATTGAATCACACTTAATTTCTACAGTTTTGTTTCATGCAGATGTAATTGGACTGATGAAATCGTTGACAAATATTTTTAAGGTTCAACTGAATAACAGAACTGAGAAAGTTGTTGCTAAGCGCGACCTTTCCATACAGGACTTACGGTAAACTAATCCGTATTTACATACACTAAACTTTGAATCGAATTTCTCCTTTATATTTTTTAATTCATGAACTTTTAAATACAAAGGGAAAGTGTCAAGGTTGTTGTGCATGGCAACCTAGCAGCAACAATACAAGAAGATGTCTAGCTTCATGAAACAAGAAATCCTTCTGATATTTGCAGGGATGACAGTCAAGAAATACATGGGTAATTTCTTATATAGTTTTTTCTTTGGAAATAACTTTATATAACATTAAGTAAATTTATACTTCTCATTTAATTTTCATATTGTTTAGTTGAGTTATATGTATCCTCATCATCTGCCACCAAAAATTATTTGGACTTAGACATTTACGAAAAGTTCCAACTCAAGGAAAGGTATGAGCAAAAAAATATTTCACAACTCAACTTTTAAATATCTGCTACTGTTATTCATATTTATTCCGGCATCAATTTAGATACAAAAATGAACCAATCTTTGTTGAACTTCTACAAATGGAGAATAAGCCTCACAAAGAAGTTGCTAATGAGAAACCAAAACAAATTGCAACTATTAAAGATTTATTGAGCGTCGACCCAGCAAAATAACAAGTAAATCTAACCATACAATCAACAAATTTACATTGTATGCTAAATCACATCTGTAACCTTTAATTTCAAACTCAGAATGTGAGATCAAAGCCAAGATCACCGACGTGGATCCAATAAATGGATATTTCTATAGCTCATATAATGAATGCGCAAATCCGTTTCAACTATGCGCGGACAAATATTTGTGTGCAAACCATGCAGATAAAACTCCACTGTTGATGCAAGTACATAACAACTTACAATAAAAATGTCTTCCATTTTATATTTTCTATTAATCTAATTTAACTTTTCAATATGGATGCAAACTTCAATTGCTTATTGAAGATCTAACTAGAGATGTGGAATTTATGGCATTTGGAAAACTTGCAAAAAAGTTGGAGCCTCCTTTTACCAATTGTTCCGTATCAGCCAAATGGACAAAATGACCTTCCTTAGACCAGTTGAATCACTGAAAAAAGAAACCACAAACAGAACATTGGATGTGGCCCTTAGTTCAAGAGCAATCAAACAGGAATTATCAATTACAAACTTTTTGATTGTGATGACCTGAGAATAAGAAAACTTAAAAGTAGGTTGAATCGTCTTCTTCATCTTCGCAATTACCATCAACTTCATCAGAAGTGCAAGCGAAGGAAAAGCAAGTTATGTCCACTAATACCTTACCTCTAGAGTTGCCCCATCCCCAATGACACACAAATTGTCCAAATGCTCTTCCCAAAAGAATCTCCTTAAAAAAAAAAAAAAAAAAAAATTGAATTCTATACAATACCAAGGAAAAAATGACTGACAGATGGTTGAACCAAAAATATGCTGCCTAACTGATTGCAAACTGCATCAAAGACTCTTTCATCATATTCCACCGCTAATTAAACATTTTGTTCTTTTGACAGATCATTATAAAGCTAATCGAACATACTCATATGAAGATATTTGATTACAACTTCATGATGAGCTTTTATTTATACCTATAAAATCTGATGACTACTATTATTTTGTAATTACTTCATGATGAAAATCAAACATATTCATTTGAATCATGTTTGATTTATGCATCATAATTAACTTTTGTATTTGACAATTTTTTTATATGTTTAATAGCTTCAATCAGTTTAATGACAATTACACAGCTTAATTTGCAAAACTTATTTCATATTTCATACCCCCGACAAGATACTTATAGTATGATATAAAAATTAACATATTAAAATTTTTACCTAACTAATATAAATATAAATATAAATATTAATTTATTAATTATTTATTTTAACATAAATCTTTAAAAAGAAAAAATTTTAAATTAACATTTGAAAATTAACATATTTTTGTTGTAGAAAATTTAATTAAAATTATAAAAAAATTTCATTTAATATATTAATTAACATAAATTAAATTTTTTTTCTTTCTCTATAAGTGAGGTTATTACGAATTAAACCTTTATCATTGAAAAATAAAATAACAATTCAAACCAAGACTTAAGTCACTAAGAATTTTCTATTCTCTCTTAAATGTTCACAAATCGAGTATTGTTTGTTGACAATGAAATTCAAATTTATGTTTTATAAACAAAAATTTTAAATTTTATCAACTCAACCAATTTGTGGCAAGTTTTACATATTTTGCTAAAGAATCAGTTCACAAAAGAACAAGTACAAGCTACTGGCAAATAAAAAAGAACAAGTATAAACAATAAGCAACATAGAATTAAATTTGTGAAAAAACACAAAGAAACAACAACAAACTAAATTTTATATTTTATAATTCTAAAATCAACTGTATGAAAGACCAAAAGAAGATTCATATTAAACTGTAATTTTAAATTTTTTTATCACTTATTTATATAAAAAAAAAAAACAAAATTTTCATTTTCATAAAGAAAAATGTGAAAACACATAGGAAAATATGACAAAAATTGAGGAGCAGGAAAATAAGGAAGATGGGATTTGTATCCCTTTTGAACTGAGTTTGTTAGCATCTCTAACAAATCTGAATTCATCAAACTCGTGCAGCTCGCAACAATGTCCTTCACAATTGGATGTACTTCTGCTGATGTCCTTACCACTGGCTCAGAATCAGTTCTCAGCAGCTAACCCCATCCCCTTCCTCAATAGCTAAAGCTTCAGCCTCAACACTCTTGTGCCATTTTTTTTTTTATTTTTATCAAAAAGATTTTTGCTATTTTATCCACTTTCAATTAAATAAAGTTTAATTGTTAATTACATCCAAATAAAAAAAAATCTCCCATTAAAGAATTATAGCAAAGTAAAATAAAATAAAATAAAATAAATAACTAAATAAAAGAGCACACGAATTGAAATTTTATTAAAATTTGTCCATTTGGTAGAAAATAATACAAATGATAATGAGCTTAATCCTTGGGTCCCAAAACCTTTAAGCTACAAGTTTGGTGGTGAACGGCATGATTTAAGTCCATACATAGATCAACCACAAATTATATTCATATATAACTTCAACTATATCATGTCAATAATAAATCTATAGATAATATAGACCGTCAAAACAGTTAAGTTGAAATCAATAAAATCAAATCAAGCATTATCAACATTTCTCTTTGAAATCTTGATCCAAACAGTGAGTATATCAAATACTAAAAACAAAAGAACAGTTATCGTGTTAAAGAAAAACCTTCTTCAAGACATTGTGTTCTTTTATCCTGCATAATACGTTGCAGTAAAGAGGGGTTGCTAGTAACAATAGCGTCTGCGCGCTCATGCAACATCCTCATCATGGAATCAGCATCATCAACTGTCCATGCATATGCCTTCTTCCCTCTCCTGTTGAAACCAGCAGTAGCAGGTCAAGCAAATGAATCACAACTGCATCCTGCATAGTGCATACATATCAATTACACCAACAATCCAATTCACAACTCAAAATGAGTTTCATACCCATGCAGAACTTTAACAAGTCTTTCATCAATCAATGGATGGTATACACCAACCACCCTGGCCCCTTTCATTCTCAACAAGTTGGTTCTAGCCCCAGTACTCGGGTCCACCATTACAATGTAGCCTACCTGTGAGTTCATCCACCAACCAATCAAATGCATATAAAAATTGTCAGAAGCAAAATATCAACAACTCCCACATCATAGCCTCAGTTGAAATGGAAGACCATTAAGGCAAAAGCACCCAGGCAGCATACAGATTAAGTTCAAGAATTACAATTCAGAATAAATATTTCATAAAAACCAAACATAAGATCCTCCAGGAACAGAGTCAAGACATTCTATAATTTTCACAAAAGCAACCAAATAGGGACTACAATAGGCTTTAAATGGGCCTTTCAACTGAAGAAAAAGGTTGAGTCTAGCTCCATATCTTACAGATGTTCAAATCAGTTTAATTCCATACACAAGTGTGCATGCCTGAACATGCATGTACATTCATAAACACACATTACAGTTTACAAAGAATTTAATTCTGTGCATTTCATAGAAAATACATATTTTCAAAATATTCTTTGTTTTCTTTTTAAATTTTCTTTTGAGGAAAAAAAAAATGAGGCAACAAAGGAAAATTACTTTCAAGTTGTTTGCACAGTGATTCTTTAACCATATCAGTCCTAACAATTGACTAACAGACCAAGACTACCTAACCCCAGCATCAAAACAAGCTAGAAGAAAATTTAGAAACTCGATCAAATATCAAAACCTGTTGATTTAGTGGACCCAAAAGAAGACCTATGAACATATCAAATGAACTTAACCATCATACCAAGATTGTTACTTAAAAATATGAAACTAAGATAAAATATGCATTATTGACTATTTTGGTCAAATGTACTATTGACTACCCAGTGTTTTCTAGCAACAACAAGAAGATTACACACTATGAAGGGATTTATAGGTGAATGAAACTTAAAATAGACCGTATAGGGACTTTCATAATGATATTCCATATATTCGTTTATTTATAATATGATAAGGCTGTTAGAAAATTAGGATTCTTTTATTTGTGTTGCTTCTAAGGTAAAATCATTTTGTTTCTCTCATAATTGAAAATTTGATATTAATCTTATTTTTAGGGTTTGCATAATGTAAAGGCTACAGAACTAAATGGGGGGCAGATAAAGGAGTAATACAGGAGGGGAAAAAACCAAGAGAACTAAAAGTACACATAAAGTAAAGGTTACGAGAGACATGCTAGCATTAGAGATGGCAATATGATGATCAGGTAAGATTCAGTGCGGTTCATTATGGATTTTGATTGTCAGGTCCTTTCTTGGTTTGAAACATTTTGAATTCAGACAGCTAGCATTTTGAGCAACCCAGATGGGGAACAAGTTGGGCAGGTCCAAGTCTTTTACTTCACGTGAACTTTTCTCACATTTTGCCAGCAGATATCAATCAAATTCATGTCCAAATTGTTGACTTTCAAAAGAAGTAGAGTTGGTAAGTTGGATTTTGAACAAGTTCGAAGATTCAGATAAAATCAGCTTTTGACACCTCTATAGCACAAATATATCATGTCATGTAGCGTGTGACAATTAGCAAATCCATCCAGACAGGAAAATTTTACCCCTAAAAAATTAATATATTACAATCTTCCCCTAATAATATAAGATAGTCATTCATATAGACAGCACAATTATCCTTTTAACACAATAGTACTTTTGAAAGAAAAAATCCAAAAGAGCTTAGAACAGTCAAATTGCTTCTTACCATAACATCTGATGAGAGTTTGATTATGTCCCTCGCTAAACTGTCACTTTTAGCCCAAATCAGGCAATTCTTACACTGCATTTTCTCAACCTGAAAATTTTTATAATGAAAACTTTAAGAAGCATAGCTTAGAATTAGAAAACATATGCTCGATAAAATACTTTAAGTAGTTTTTTTCTTTTACTGTAAGCAATTCAAAATTCAAACAACAGAACACAATGAAAACTCCCATTATGCTGGTCAGGCAGCCCAAAGTCAGCCGCCACAAGTTTCACAAATTAACTATTCTCTGCACATAGCCAACTTTCTGACAGATTTAAACCTCTTCACTTATGAAGGCACTGAGCAGCTTATAAGCCCTTATAACTTTTGCATCTCAAATCAGAAGTTGAAATCAGTTTTTGACAAACATGTTATAAGAATGTCAAACAAAGCATGAATTAGTCACATATTAGTTCAGGTATAAACATGCATGGAAATAGAACTCAAGAAGACAACAATTATAAGGAAACAATTAGAAGAGTTGAAACAAGTCTAAGCCAGTTCACCCAGACAATGTTTGCAGTGTATGCTTTATATATTTTGGAATAAATTTGTTTTAATCACTAAAAAGAAAAGATGTATTAGTTGCCGAGGCATCCAAATGGAAGAAATCTAATCTGAAGAACACTGATTTCATATACTTTATGAAAGAGTATGCTATGTGATGCAGGTGGGATGAAAAGAAGCTACTTGAGGGATTAAATATCAAGTACTTTATGAACATAATTGTATTTGAAAATATCTTAGATTATTTAGGTTATTTCATAATTAATTACTGGTAATTTGCTTATCCAAAATACTAGGGCATTAGTGCTATATTTGGTATTTTTCCTTTCAAATAGGTTCAGCTACAATTATCTATGTTGTTTCAGTTTATAATAGAAATTTGAATCAAGAAATCTCAAGACAATGGTATTCTTAATAGTTGAGCTTTTAAAAATTAATATTTTGATGTTGAAAATTAACTATTAGTAATTGAGATATGAGATTTCACAATTCATCTGAGATTTAGGTCTAGGAAGCATGAGCTCCTTTCTTGGCCTCCAAGAAAGAGCTTTTTGGGCAGCTACTTTCAATCTTGGCTTCTTGCTTTGCCAAGTAACCAAATTTCCCCACACATAGGTACAATAACCAATAGTTGATTTTTGGTCAATAACGAATCAGCCCAATCAACATCAATGTAAATTTCAACATTTCAGCATGATATTTTCTTAAAAAATAACCCTTTGCCAGCACTTTTCATTAAGTACTGTAAGATTCAATACACAACCCTCAAGTGTTCCTCGATTGGGTTGTTCATGAATCTATTTACCATGCTAACTGAAAAACCAATATCTGGTCTTGTACGAGAGAGGTAGATGAGTTTCCCAACAAGTCTTTGATATCTGCCCTTATCTATTGGTGGACTTCCTTCTTCCATTCGTACCTTATTCATTGTGTACATAGGGGTGTCAGCAGGTTTGCATCCAAGCATTCCAATTTCCTTTAGTAAGTCTAGGACATACTTACGCTGTGAAACAGAGATGCCATTCCTTGAGCAAGCTACCTCCATGCCAAGAAAATATTTGAGGTGTCCCAAATCTTTGATTTCAAATTCTTTGGCTAGGAGATTCTTTAGGTTGCTAATTTCTTCCAAATAGTCTCCAGTAAGAATAATGTCATCCACATAGGCAATAAGAATGGCTATTTTTCCTTCAGGTGAATGTTTGACAAACATGGTGTGATCGGCCTGGCATTGTGAAAAACCATACTTTTTTACCATTTTTGTTAGTCTATCAAACCATGCACGTGGAGATTGTTTGAGACCATATAAAGACTTTTGAAGCTTACATACCTTGCCAAAATTGTCCTGGTTTTTGAATCCTGGAGGGATTTCCATGTAAATTTCTTCTTCTAGGTCGCCATTAAGAAATGCATTTTTGACATCTAGTTAGTGGAGTGGCCAATCTAGATTTGCTGCTAATGATAATAACACCCCGAATGAATTAAGTTTAGCAACTGGAGCAAATGTCTCCTCATAGTCAACACCATAGGATTAAATAAAACCTTTTGCAACAAGGCAAGCTTTGAATCTGTTAATACTTCCATATGCATTGTGCTTGACAGTAAAAATCCATTTGCACCCAACTGGATTTTTCCGTTTGGGTAGTTCTGAAATCTCTCATGTTTTGTTCTTTTCTAGAGCCTTGATTTCTTCCAAAACAGCCATCTTCCATTTTGGTTGCATGAGTGCTTCATTAATATTATTAGGAATCTGCATATTGTTTAATGTGGTAACAAAAGCTCGATAACTGGGTGATAAACCTTAATAAAAAACCACATTACAGATTAGGTGTTGAGTACATGATCTCACACCTTTTCTTAGAGCAATCAATTAATCAAGATCATCAAAAGACTTAATTGAATCAAATTCAGTGAGAGTGTTACCTATGTTGGTTTCAAGTACCTCTAGAATCGATTCAAATTCTTGGTTTTGCCTTGAAGGTGTACATTCTCCTATATCGTTCTGAGTTTTTTGTCTTCTTGAATAGACAATCAATTCTTTGTTTGTTTTCCCTTATGTGGACTTCGGGCTTGGAGGATCTGGTTGGATGTTTTGGACTTGCAAGGGAGTTGGAGGATCCGGTTTGATGTTTTGGACATGAAAGGGAATCTGATAAGCGTTTGGCGGTTCGGTAATAGGATCTTCCCCAAGCTGATATTCCCATGTGATTGGATTCTCCCCCCAAATGGCAGTTTTGGGAAAGTAAGGTTGATTTTCAAAAAAGTTAACATTCATGGAATGGTAGAATTTCTTTGTTACTGGTGAGTAACACTTGTATCCTTTTTCATTCGGGAAGTATCCGAGAAATATGAATTTGATGGATTTGGGATCTAATTTGCTTTGGTTTTGTTGGCTAATAAGAACAAATGCAGTGCATCAAAACACTTTAATGAGAATAGACAAGAAGATTCAAAGGTGAAGATTGAAAATGAGAGGGATTGGCAAGGGCTTTGAAACTTCAGGGCTCAATAAGGCATTCTGTTTATAAGATATGTAGCAGTAAAAACAGCCTCACCCCAAAAATGCTTACGTACATGGGCAACCATCATGAAGGATCTTGCAACTTCCAACAAATATCGATTCTTTCTTTCAGCAACGCCATTTTGTTGAGGAGTGTCGACATATGAGCTTTGATGAATTATACCATGCTTCATTAGATATGATCCAAGCATTGAATTGTAGTATTCTCTCCCATTGTTGGTTCTAAACACTTGAATTTTGGTTTTGAATTGAGTTTGGATCATATTGTTGAAGTTTTGGAATAGCTGGCCCATTTCTGATTTTTCCTTCATAAGGAATACTCAAGTAACCATGGTGTGATCATCAATAAATGTGACAAACCATCTAGAGCTAGTAATGTTATATACTCTGGAGGGACCCCAAATGTCACTACGTCTCATTGAAAAAGGATGGGATGGTTTATAAGGCTGATTAGGATATGTAGTACGAGTATGTTTGGATAGTTGGCAAACTTCACACTAAAAGTTGTTAGGATTTTTATTGAATAATGAGCGAAACAACCTTTTGAGGTATAAAAAATTTGGATGACCTAACCAATAGTGCTATAACATGATAGTACTATCTTTATTATTACTGAAAAATGAAGCCACGCAAGAGGTCTTTTGATATTGTCTTTCAGAATCATTAGCTCTTAGGATATAGAGTCCTGCACACATCTTAGCATTGCCAATCATCTTCCTCAAATCCAAATCCTAAAATTCACACATATTTGAAAGAAATTTAGTAACACTCTTAAGGTCTCTTGTAAGTTTGCTTATAGATAGTAGATTACAACTTAGATTTAAGACAAATATAATAGAATCAAGTGTTATCTCTTTGGAAAAAATAATAAAACCTATACCAGTTACTTTTGAAAGTGACCCATTAGCAATTCGAATTGTGAAGTTTTCATGTTGCATTTACTAAATATAGATGCATCCCCAGTCATATGCTTTGAAGCTCCTAAATCCACAATCCATGAATTTGATTTCTCTGGTTTTACACTCAAGACACTTAGAAAATTATCTTTTTGTGCTAAAAAACCTATTCGAATAGGAGTGGTAATGTTCTGCAATGATTGAGAAACACTAGCTCCGAGGCTAAAGGTAACTTCCAATGTCAAACTCTCCTTTTCGCTGGCCATGTTGGACTCCAAGTGAAAATTTTCAAAGGTTCAAATCGTGCTCTAATACCATGAAGATTTCCCTAGAATAAAACTCTTTTATTCTTCTATATTTTTCTTATTACAATGCTAGAATTGCATGAAAATATACAAGCTAAAGACTGAATATTCTCAGCCTTAAAACCCAAGATTTTCATGCATTAAAACAACTAATCAAAGGAGTAATTTACTCTCTACACATAATAGGAAACTATCTAATGAATTTGGTGTAATTATCCAAATCACTTCTTATTCTAAAAATAAAAGACTTAACTAAAATAGATAAAGTCAACTAATCAAGTAATAATAAAGATTAGATTTCCACAATCTCTTCTCTTCTTCTCCTAAATCAAAATCTAAAAGAAATGAAGACAAAGGAAGAGAGGGCAAAAAAAACTCACGACGGAAAGAATATCCTTTGCAAGCCCCTTTTCATAAGATGGAGGCCCCACCTTGGCATCTAGAATCACCTGCCGAACTGATCTTGATATCAACTAAAAATCCAGATGAACTAAATCAGAAACTCATCATTCACCTTTTGATAGAAGAAACAAACAATAACAGAATACAGTCTGTGTGATGAAACACTATCCTGAACTTACCCTCAAAGCATCTTCAATTGTAGGAATCTTTGAATCACCAAACTGATGAGAGGCATCTAGTTCTTTTATCTACAACACAAAATACCACAATCTCAATCAAGCTTACTCACATATAGCTTTCCCTCTATGGGGGGAATATGAGCAGCAGATGTTTTGTGATAAAACCAGAATGAATTTCTACAGAATCAAATTCAGAATGGTCCTTACGAATCTCCCTCCTTTTGGAGATTAACATGTTATAATTTCAAAAGTGAATCATGCATACTCACATGTACTAAAGAAAAAAAATCATTGCTCAAAACAAAACATTGAGTCCCATAAATGTTCACTATTTTAGCTCAAACTTGACCGTTACTCTTTACTCTGGCACACCACACAAAATTGAGTTTTGAAAAGAAATTTTGCCAAAAATTAGAAGAACTTGATTGTAGGTTTTTTTTTTTCTTTAAAACGAAAAAAAAATTAATAGGGATCACTGAATTACCCAAATTGGTGAGGAATGAACAAGACTCTCAACATATTAGCTGCCACGAACTGCTACTTATTAGTGGTAAAGTGCCATAATACACTACTAATGTGTTGCAGTTTAATGGCAAACAAAGACAAATGGTCCAGAAAAAATGGATTGGTACCTTGTCATTATAATGAAACCCAAGAAACCATGAAATGTTTGTCCAGTAATTTTCAATAAATATTAAAAGACACATGTCCACTTCATATTAAATGGTTCAGATTGAATTAAATGTTCAAAACTAATTTTCCATGACTTCTCCATTTACTGAAATTATTTTTTCTTGATTTGATTCAATATCTTACTAGGAAAGGAGATTTGGGTTCATATTCAAAGTCTTCCTCTTGCAAAGTACAACAAAAATTATCATATTTAAACAATCTGAAAATTGCAAAGAACCAGTACACTTTAACGTTCTCAACACTTTAGCTTTACCCATAGTCTCAAAATCATTGGGTATAGCCAGCAAGTCACCCAGATTACATGCATGTCGGTGGATCAACACATGGTGAGGTTCAGCCTTTCAAATGTCATCCAAAAGAGAACACAAGCTTTGAGCAATAGCCAAGAACATTATGGCTCCAAGTCTTAAGAAGTTGCCAGAAACTCAAGCCAATTAGGATATTGACGTTTCAATAATCTCTTGTTTGGCATTTTATGGCAAAGTGTAATATTGTGAACAAAAGGTGGGTTGTGAGAGAAAGAAACAGAGTTTGGTTTGAAAGGATTACTATATCATTAAAAAAATAAGACTGAAGACAAATAAAATGGTTTAACTTTAATGTTCACCATTAACGGAATAGCTATTATTAGTAGACTAATTATCTTGACCATTTAAAATTAAGTACACATTTGTCTTTCATCTGATATGTATTAACATTACAGGACAAATATTTCAATCAAGGGGTACCGGACCCACCAAACAACTTTCTAACCCCATTCAACTTCTAAATTAATGATCTAAATCAAGTCTTTTTTTTCTGTCACCTTTTCTTGTTGGTCTATTGATAAAGTTTTTGGCCTATGTTACAAGGACTTACCACCCATAAATGATAGATAATGGTCTGCTTACTAACTCCTAGATCATTATTATAATAAGTAAACAACAACAGGGGCCAATATCTATGATATGCTCAAAAAGATTATCTCTAGTATTTCTCAGACAGCTAGCTCCTCGATGCTTTTGCACTTTAAGAAACATGCACGTTAGTTTATACAGCAAGTTTAAACAAACAGTCATGAAATCGAGCCCAATTTGGAGGGTCACACTTAGTCAAGCTTGAATTACAGACCATTTAACTATTTTGCACAAATAAATAATATATTAAAAGTGCAAAGAAGGGGTAAACAACCCTGATGCAGAAAAAAAAAATGTGTGCAGGTGGTGAGAAGCATGCATGCTCTTAAAAGACAAGCCTAGTGTCTCGTTACTAACTGCTACACCATTTCTAACAACTGTAAGGAATGTGGGGTCAATGAGATGGTAACCAATATTGCCAAGTATTCCCTAGACAAGTAGCAGCTCAGCTTATATACAATCTAAGAACCATGCAAGCAAGTTTGCAAAATAAATCAAAGAAATACAAAACTGAATCGCTTAAAAGAAAGGAAAAGTTGAGAAAATGAGGGGAACAATCTTTCAAGTTCATTTTGTCGGCCATTTAACATTTTTTTTTTATAACTAGATAATCTATTTGAATTATAAGTATGCAAATGTAAACATGCGAACAGACACTGGTATAGAGAGTAAAGGTAAAACTTCACTTATGGATGTCAAGATAACTATTAAAAAGTTTAACCATGCTTTTTCTCCTAACAAACAAAATCAATCATTGTGATAGAACACAGCAGTCTTGCTGATAGTTTAAAATTAAATCTCCTGCCCCACCCCCAACACTGCTTCCCCCCATCCCCTCCCACAAAAAAAAATAGAAGCATATAGCCATTCCAGGATTAAAAGAAATCCAATGACAAACTATAATAAAGACTAGAGTTTTCAAGAAAATAGACAATGAACCACAATATGGTTCACTAGGTAACCATTGTTATAGTAAAAACAATAATGATCAACTATGATATGCTTTCTATCAGAAGGATAATCCACGAGTTAAGATTTTGACAATACTGCTGTCCCAGAAAAGTAAGCAACCACCAAAACCACCTTGCAAAGAATCCGTAGTCCACTTTTTCTCTTCTCATCGGAAAAAAGAAAATATCAACCACATATTTTTGAAGTTTGGACCTAAACCATAAGTTATTGTTCATAATCAGTAAATTCTATATTCATTTATGCCACATAACTAAAGAGAATAAAACTACAAAAAAAGAGGTTATATTCCTCCTATTCCTACTGCTGTACTGTACTGTTTGTCCCCATTGAGACAAAATAAATAAGCTCCTAATGTAAAATCTATATTTTCAGAAATAAGAAATAATACAGAACAAACTACGTATTAAAGCCTCTTCCTACATTCAATATCATCCCAAAAATATCAAATTTCCACACTGTCTCCTATCATAAGAAGTATATATTTGAGACACTCTAATGTCAAACCAAAATAAAAAATAAAAATACCTCTTCCTACATTCAATATCTTCCCAAAAATATCAAATTTCCATACTATCTCCTATCATAAGAAGTATATATTTGAGACCTCTAATGTCAAACCAAAATAAAATATAAACTTATCAACTAGGACATCATTTACAGATATAGAGTTTTTCACAGGATTATATTGATTCTTCTAGCTCAGACTAAAATGTTTGGTGATCATGAATTCCATAAGAATTCATGTTTCCTGGCTCAAGTTTAGGGAAAGCACATTTTTGTTCAATCCAATATTGTTTAAGGAAAAACCATCCTAAATTTATATCATTGATTGTAATGGGAAAGCTGCATTCCAGAAAAAACAAGATCAAACTTAAAAGTCAAATCAGATAGAAATAAAAATCTCTTAATTCCATAGATTATGATCTTTTTCTTTTTTTTTGTGTGTGGTTTATATTTGTGTCTGTGTCTACATGTATGACTTACATAAAGAATAATAGAGTAAGTCCCATAAGTCAGGCACGTAAATATAGATACCTTAGAACTCAAGAAACCAGAGAAAAGTCCATTCAGCAAAATTCTCACCTCGTTTGATCGTAAGTCCCCAACTTTAGAAGTACTGTTACCAGATATACGCTGCAAATCCCTGCCTGTGTAATGTAAAAATCAAGTCTCCAAATAGCTGCAACATAAGCTTGTGATACAGATAAAGGAAAAAGACCAGAGTTGTTCTCCAACATCAGTACAAAATAGTTTTATCAAGTGCTAAACATCAATTCTTTGGCTATAATGTTATGCCTCCTAATACCACCCTTGTAAATGATGTTGCTTATCATTTTAAATGTCAAAACTTCAGAACACTTCATGCATTTAATTATTGAATGTGTTTCTGTATAATTCATATTCATCGAGAAATTTTGGAATTCCACATACATTACATGCAACAGTACACAACCAATAACAACTCAACTGGCCACAGCTACTTTTTTTAAAAAAGTACATTACTACTGAAACCGTAATGAGAAAGCCACATCTTTTACAAGTGCAAAAGAGAACATCTTAATGAAACAAAAGATGGTAAATTCTTATATGAGTATAGGCTGAAAATACCTGTCATGAAGTGCAAACAAAACTCCATCCGAAGAGCGAGAGACATCAATCTCAATGCAGTCTACTTGAGAACGAAGAGCAAAATTATATGCAGACATCTGTGTCAAGTAAAAGACAAAAAAAAAACAGATGATAAACAGATCAACCAACAATAACAATAAGGGACCCAAAGGTTAGTGAATAAGAATACTCAATTCAAGGTCTTTGTAATCTACATAACCAGTTCATCATGCAGTGTAAAGATTAACTTTCAGTAATCTAGCCTTGGCCAAGGTTTAGCTTAGGTTTAAGTAATCTAGCCTTGGCCAGGCCTTGACCAATTTAAGCTTGAGGCACAAAATCAGAACTTGGATGGAAGAAACTGAAGGAAACCTAAAACCAGGTGGTGTTGAGGATAATGCCATTATATCTCCATGAGATATATAAGCAAACAAAGTTTGACAACTGACAGTTGTGGTCTTTGGAAAGCCACACATAATAGTCAGGAAAAGCAATTACAGAAAGGAAGAGATGCCTACTGTGTTTGGCAAGGCATTAGTTGAGTCACCACCATGAGCACACACAAGAGGAGGATTGTTCAGCCAACCGCACCTCCTTAATTGCATCTGCAAGAGAAAAGTAAAAAATAAATCAAGCTGTACTAGTAAGCGAGGACCTATATCTGTTATAAATACCCCACTTAACAGAGGTATAAAATAAATGGACCTAATTATTTAAAAAAATAAACTTAGATTATTCAGAAGCCATATGCTTTACTATTTACAAAAAGTAATTTAAATCATTCAGCAATCTATACAAAATCATCATATAGTGAACATCAACTTAAGTAGACTAAGCAACAGCCATGTGATTTGTAGGTAGATTGGTAGAATCTTAGTTCCGGTGACTAGGGTTCAATCCCTTGTAACATCAAGTACCAAAAAAAAAAAAAAAAACTTAAGTGGACCCTAGTAAAACGTTTGAAAACTGCTTTGTCATGCTCTTAAAGAAAATTTAGCAAAAACACATGCATGCATACATATCAACTTCTAATTTATATCTGAGTCCGCCATGTTTTGATTTAGGATGAAATACAGTTGTTAGGTAAATCATGGCCATCTAGAAAAGTATACCCATTTGACAACCAGACTTGATTAATTGTGCACTAATTTAATAGGAGAAAACCAAGGAAATTTTATACTCTAGGGAATTTCCAGATTATAATGAGAAACTTCTACATTTGTTGATGAAAAACTAACAAATTAAATTAGACAGGAGGTATACAAAAGTGCAAAGAAGCAAAAGAACAAGGCAGGCTTAAACTAAAAGGGAAAAGCAGAAATAAACCCTCAACTTTACTAAACCAAATAAGTCAAGAGAGAAAAAAAAATACAGATATGTTAGGAAAAGTGTAAATCAAAAACAAGAAAAAGAATTCCTTAAACCTTGGCTTTCATGTTAAGAACAGAATACTCCACTCCTTTAAATGCTCTACTATATCGCTCACCCCACAAACACCAAAGTAAATAAAGTGGCACCATTGTCCAAACAAAATTGTTCCTATGTTTACTAGACACTCCTCTCCAACTAGCCAGAGTACTTATGACGGTCTTCACCATGACCAAATGAAAGGAAGATGGAACATGGACCTTGCTTCTGAAGCAATTACACATTTATGCGTTGATATATTTTATTTAGAGCATAGAGTGAGTAGATTAATAAATATCAAATCAAAGATATAACATGGTAAACATTTCCAGGTGGTTCTGTCACAAGCAATGATTCAATTCATTAATAAGATAAAGTCATAAAAGCATGAAAAAGAGTTAGAAAAGAAATTAACTACATGTCCTGGGAACATAATTATGGATAGTACACAAGGCAAAGCAAAGTGAGCCGAAAACTGTTGTAGATAACAACAGTTGACTAGGGACAAAGACTATTTGTATCAACAAATATTACATGGTTCCACTTATTGGCAGAGCTTGGCAGAACCAGCTTACTTTTAAAATCACAAATATTTGGCTTTATACAATCATAGATCAAGCAGATTAGCATGAAAATATTCTGAAATTTTCATAACCAGAGACATTCTATAATTGAACTTTCACTTTTCGATTCTATGAATACTTGTTTTCCATTCCTGACCCCCCCAAGTTTTGAGGGTATCAGCAGAAGTTTGGGTTTCTACAAGCAAATATTACAAGAAGTTCTTTGGAGAAATTTCTTGGATTGACTTACTATATGATGCAGTTAACAATTTACATTGATTTTTTTTTTATTTACAGAAATTTACATTTTAATAAACAAGAAAAATACAATTTTCAGATTTTTTTCACTTTTATCAGTAAATAACACCCAAATATAAAGAAACCATTTGTAATCCTTTATTTAAAAGACAGAGCTTTATAATTAATTCGAGTAGTATTATTTTTTCAAAATTTCCTGGTGTTTTCACATGTGAAAAAAATGAAATAATGCAAGAAACGCAAGAAAGCCTTTATCTTTTAAATGTCAGTGTCATTTAAAAAGGAATTTCAAAATATAAAGAAATCAAATCAAGATAATGGATTGATAGTGTCTTCATGGAAATAATTGCTGGTAACTAATGACATCTTGAATTTATAGCTGCATAATATACAAAAAAATAAAGTTTATGCCCATCAATTAAAAAAAAAAACTCCTAGTTATGACAAAGTTTGATTGAAAATAGAAATCATTGAATTCAGGTAAACATGAGATTGGGATTGGGATGTTACCTGATGGAAACGGCGGAGCCTGAAGTGGAAGAAAACGGGAGGCAAAAGGGCGACTAAAGCAAGAAGAACAAGGATGAAACGAAGCCTTTTATAGAAAGAAAAAGAAGAAGAAAATCTAAAGAGAGAGGCTCCATTGCTGCGCCCTTGCAACTGTTGCCTTCTTCCTTTACCATACATTTTTATTACTTGGTCACTCACCAAACACGAAAAATGCGTACACCTACTTACGCTGTGGGCTGTGGCTGTAACCAACTTCCCCCAACGCCAACTATACAGTTGTACAAGGCATACACCTCCCAAAACAATGGAACCTCACACTACGTTTGGATCGAGGGGAGGGGAAGCAAACGAAAAGAAAATAAAGACAAGTAACGAAAATAGAAAAACAGTTTTTTTATAAACTTTTAATTAAAAAAAAAGGGTAAAAGTTCAATATTTTTAGTTTCTCTTATAATTTTTATTTTTTTAATATTTTAATTTGAGAAAAAGTGAAAAAATTTTATTTTTATAAAAAAATTATTATATCTATATTTTTATTATGATATTAGATTTGATTATATAATTAATATTTTCTATAAAAATAATTTTTATGAGTAGTTTATATAATATCACAATTTATAAATATTTTTTGATTTTTTAAGTTTTAACAACAAAATAAATTAAATTATTGTCAAAATAAATTAAAATATTAAATTAAATATAAAATTAAAAATAAATTAATAACTAATTAATACAATTTATCGTATTAAATATGCTTAATTTTATTTAAAAATATTTATTTATATAAGTTAGTTAATATAAAAATATATTTATATATTATATGTTATTTTATAAAAAAAAATGTTATAATTAAAAAAAATTGTAACAAATTATTTTTTTCTTTTCACTATTTATTCAAATAATGATCATTAAAAATTATTTTTTTATTAATTTTAATTATCTAAACAATGAATATATATACCATTTTTTTTTTAAATACTTTCATTTACTTTCTTTTTTTTTATAATTTCTTTTCCTTCATTTATATGTATCCAAATATAGTATTAATTATTGACACCGTATGAATCCATTCCATATAAGCTACAGTATCAAGAAAGAAAAAAAATGGAAGACTCAAAATAACAAATTTGTCCTCCTAATTTATTTCTCATCTACGTATCTACCTATCTAATGTGCACATGTCAATCTTTTGTTTTTTCTTTTTTCTTATTTTTTGTATTTTTTACATATTTTTTAACATTTAATAAATACTTTTTCTATTTTTCTATTTTACCTTTTTTTTTTACTTACTTTTTTAATATTTAATGAATATTTTTATATATTTAATAAATTTTTTTATATTTTATTCTTTAATAGGTCCATTTGATATTATTAATTAAAAAAAACTATTTGATAATTTTTTTAAAAAATTATATTAATGAAATTGTGAATGTGATATCATAATTTATTTTTTTCCTTTTTTTTTGTTTTTATTTTTGGTTTTTTGTTTTTTTTATTTTTTTAATTAGATAAATATTATAATAAAAGAAATCGATAAATCAATTTATTTAAAAAAAAGTCAATGAAAGTATGAACGATAAAACAACCTAAATTTAATTAGTTTTGATTTGTTCAAATCAAATAAGTTTATTTTTTTATTTTGGATCAAATCGAAGTTTTTTTCTTAAATCATATTAGCTCAAATGCAAATTAAAAGTGTTTCGACATATATTTCATTATTTGTCTTACTATATAAGTGTATTATATTAATAAAATAATTATTTAATATTTTAATTCAATAAATTCACATGACATTCTCATTGGCTTGTTTTTCCTCCATTTCTTTTTTTTAATTTAACTTTTTTTAATTAAATAATTTTTGTAAAAAAAATAATAATAAATGTAGGGATAACAAAGTAGTCCATATCTTATGGGTTTCAAATTTTCTAATTCGATATGAGCAGGTTTATAAAAAATTCAAAATTGAGTCGAGATTTTTTTTTAAATTATGATGGGGTCGATAGCGAGTTTAGGATGTTTCATCTTACATTTGAATATATATGTAAAATTATTTTTTGATTATTTATTTAATTTTATATTTATATTTATATATGTATATATTAGTCAATTTATTATTTAATTCATTACTTTAATAAAAATACTGTTATTAATTATTCATAATTAAGATATAATTCATCTATTTGTCCATTATATAAATTTTTTTATTTTTATTTTTGTTTAACATTTATTTAAGATGTCGACTTGACATCTTTTATTACTTTTTTTTAATTTTTTTTATTTTTTAAAAGTTTTTATTTGAATTTAGATAAATTTTAAAGAAAAAACATTTGAGATGTCCACGTAACACTCTAATTTGATTTTTTTTATTTTTTTTAATTATATAAATTTTGTAACAAAATTTATCAATGGATAGAAATGAAAAATAATTCATATCTAGATCTAATCCAATCAAACATAGGGGCAATATATTAAATTGGGATTGAGTTTGGGCAAATTAGGTTTTTAAGAGAAACTAGGTCAAGTTGGCGACAAATTAATGGTATTTTACCCCAACCCATCTCAAAATATATATAAAAATATATATTTTAATATTTACAACATAAAATTTGCATTTTTTTGTCTCCATATATTGCTCCTTTTAACTTACTTTTTTTCTTTTTTTGTTCTTCTATTTATATTTAGTAAAAAAAAAATTTAGATTTATGGTGAGAATCATTTAATATTATTGATTAAAAATATTTTTTATTTGCCATTCTTTGTTTTTATCTTATTTTAAATAGGATTATTTTGTCATCTCTTTTTTTAGTTTTTTTTTTTTTAACTTTTTTAGTTTGTTTAATTAAAAAGAAATTGTAATAAAGGAGTTAGTGTGAGTGTTTATATGGAACTCTAATTTGATTTTTTTTTTCTGTTTTTCTTGGTTTTTTTTTTTTTAGTTTTTTTTTAATATAAATCTTGCACATACATCCATACAATAAATCAATTCATCCATGCATCTTTACATAAAAGGTTGCAAGATTTTAAAAGCAACCAAATGCCCATGTGGCACCTCCATTAGCATATTTTTCAAATCTTTTTGTTTTTTTGTTTTTTGTCTTTTTTATTTTTCTTTTTTAATTAGATAACTTTTGTAAGAAACTAATGTCATTTGTTTTTTCTTTTCATATTTTTTATAATTTAATTGGATAAATTTTACAACAAAATGCCATGATTAATATAAATGATAAAATAATCAATATATGATAAATTTTGATCCATCTCGATTCTTTATGAAAGTTTTTGTGAAAAATCAATCTCGAGTCAAGTCAAGTTTATATTTTTAAGAAAGCGAATATTTTTAAGGTGCTTTGCCCAAGCCACCTCATGGTATAAATAAAGTATACATTTTATTATCTACTTAATTATATATATATATCAATAAAGTTATTATTTGATATATTCATTTAAGATATTCACACTTTAAACTCCCACATGGCACCAATTATGTCTTCTTCTTTTTTGTTTCTTTCTTTTTTTAATTTTTTATTAATATAATTATTATTCATTATCTTAATTTAAGAAATTAACATTTTTAACTCATTGAAATTCCCACATAATAACCTAATAAGTTTTTTTCCTTCCTTTTTTTTTTTCTTTTTTTCATTTTTTTTGTTTTCTATCTTTCATTTTTCCATTTTTTATGCTTTTTAATTAAATTAATTTTGTTGAAAAAAGAGACCAATAAAGTGTCCACTTGGCACCCCTTTGATTTTTTCTTTCACATCTTTTGTATTTTTTAATCAGATAAATTTTGTAACAAAAGATACCAATTGATAGAAATATGAAAATAATTAATATCTAGTGGATTTCTATCCATCTCAATCTGATAATGAGAGATTTTTTCATATTTATATAATATAGATATATAACTAAACATTAATAACATTACTATTTGTAATTATTTTTATTTAATTTTCTACTTTTTACTTTAATAATCATTATTCTTGTTAAAAATATTAAAAAAATATGCATTTTTTATCATTCATTAAATTTATAATAAACTTTATTATGTACCAATAACCAAAGAAATTGAACTCGCTGTAAAGCACGGGTCAATTTCTAGTTCATAAATTTAAAAATTCTTAATTATGTATCTAAAGTTTCAGTTCATCGTATAAACACCTGATAAAAATTATAAAACATATTAATAGTTTCTCTTAAAATATTCCATGTGTCATACATGGCAAAAATATCATATCATATCATTTTTATTTTTTAGTTTTGAATTTAAAAAATTTTAAAATAATTAAATGAAAGAAGCTAAAGTTGGGGAGAGAGAAAATAGGAAGAGAGGAAAGAAAGATGTTTTGTAGGTATATTTTCTTTCAAAATATATCTTTTATTTTTTGAATTATTTAAAAAAACTTTTTTAAATATAATTTTTTCTACGTATTTAATGGATGTGTATACCAATTCTACCTTTAATAAACATGTGATAGTTCTCTAATTTTTTTTTTAAAATATAATTTGTAACTAGATAATCATATATTTATATATATATATATATTATAACATACATGGTTACCAAATAAAATTTTTTAATGTAAACACTTACGTGGATAGCTACTCTTTTTGACACACAAGAAAATTTTTAAAATTTTTTTTTATAATGACACATAAAATATTTTTTAATTTTAGACTATTTATCAAAAAATATATATTTCAAAAATTATTGAATTATCCAAAATTTTTAAAATATAGTTGAAAAACCAATTCAGATTTAATCAAATAGATAAAATTATTATTTTTTTGTAAAATTTTATTTAAATAAAATTAATTCTTATTTTTATTTATGAATTAAATAAATGTATTTAAAAAATAATTGGTTATTCAAATCCTTTTAAGATATATTTATTTGAAAATTTTGTAATTATTCAAAGTTTTTCTTTCAACTAAAAAATATCTTTGTCTATCAAATATACCTTTAGATATATCTTAAATGTCGTATTACAAGTAAAAATTCAAATCTTTTCATCATAGTATATATTCGCACTAAAAATTAGTAACCAATCAAATAAAATTAATATAAATTGAGTTGAATTACAGTTGCATAAGATGAGATTTAATTAAAAATATTTTTGTTATTAATATAAATCAAAGTGCACACATGAGCTCTTAAAAGTATACATGAGCTCTTACTGAGTTACGAAAACAAAAAAAAAAAGAAAAAAGATGAATATAGGATAGAGATTATTGAATCAAAAACGAAAAATGACCTCAAGATTGGTCAAAGCAAAAATAGAAATTAAATAATTATTTGTAAAACACTCATCAAATTTTCATGATAAATATGTGCTACTTATTTTTATTTTACAATAATTAAGCAATAATATTTTTTAAAAATAATTTTT